CAACCGCTTTAAAAATAAAAAATAATAATAATAATAAATATATATTCCTACGTAAAATTTGAAGTTGCTGATTGGGAAGCCATTACTGTTACATCCTAAGTTCAGCCCTTGCCCAAGCCATCTCGGCCAAGAGCTGGGGGACAACTGATGATACTTAGAATGATTTTCGAGTAAGAGCTCGGGAACGGAGGTCAAACATGGAGGTCAGATATGCTGAGCTCAAAAAATCAGAGCTATGCAGAGCTCAAAAAATCAGAACTAGAGCTCTCCTCAATCAAGATAATAAGCTGAAGTAATGAGGAAACAACTAGATACTACAAAGAACTCGACAGACAGTTTGAAGTAGCACTCAAGACACAAAATTTTCAACCAACCAAGATACTCTCCTAAGATTAAAGAGAATTCATCGGATAGATGACAAGTATCACGGATCAGATCCCATAGATTAAGGGTCACCCCTATAAATACTATGTAACGCCCCCAACACAGGGACAAAACCCTAGTATCACATCTTACATTCTGTGAACCTTTTGATATAGTAAATAGTGAAGAAAAGAGCAAGAATCTCCATTGAAGAGTGTATTAGCTGAGCTCCTGAGCTGGTGAATCATTATATTTCTACTGTGTTAACTCCCCAACAATTCTCAATATTATTCCCTCAAGTCTAATAACTCAGATCCCAATAATTTCAATATTATTTTTTTCATTTAGTCGTCATCACAAAATTACATCACGTTGAAATACACCATCAATATACATACTTTCTAAGGATCGGAAGCAACCACGTTAATGATGTTTAGTCCGTGCGCTAATTACAACTTTGATAATCATTTTGGAAAATCAGCTCTACGTCAAATAGTGGATTGTGACTTTTTTCAAACATGTCACACTGCCTTTATAGACGGTGAACCAAGGGACAAAATCGATAATAATTGAGAGAGAAATTGACTTACTCAGAGATGAGCTCCCTGTTAATCCTCGATTTGGCTGCAACTGTAGTGGTAGAGGCTAGTTTTAGCTGTGGGAGTAAACGGTGAACGGAGGCTTATAAACAATGAAACCTGATTTGATGAACGGAAGCTAGGGCTGGAAAATGATGAGACCACTGACTCTGATGGACAGAGAGACGGTGAACGAACAGATCTGGTTGTGAGAGAAGACCGACGGGATTTGGGGGGAAATGAGACCGAAGGATTTGGGAGAGTTTTTTTTGGGGATTTGACAGAGAAGCTTTCATTAACTACACACCTTCCGACACCAGCGTTTAACCAAACCCCGACCATTTCAAAATAGTAAATGTGTAAAAATTAACCACCAGCTTTCCTTTTAGCGGCGTTTACCTTTNTCATTACTGTTACATCCTAAGTTCAGCCCTTGCCCAAGCCATCTCGGCCAAGAGCTGGGGGACAACTGATGATACTCAGAATGATTTTCGAGTAAGAGCTCGGAAACGGAGGTCAAACATGGAGGTCAGATATGCTGAGCTCAAAAAATCAGAGCTATGCAGAGCTCAAAAAATCAGAACTAGAGCTCTCCTCAATCAAGATAATAAGCTGAAGTAATGAGGAAACAACTAGATACTACAAAGAACTCGACAGACAGTTTGAAGTAGCACTCAAGACACAAAATTTTCAACCAACCAAGATACTCTCCTAAGATTAAAGAGAATTCATCGGATAGATGACAAGTATCACGGATCAGATCCCATAGATTAAGGGTCACCCCTATAAATACTATGTAACGCCCCCAACACAGGGACAAAACCCTAGTATCACATCTTACATTCTGTGAACCTTTTGATATAGTAAATAGTGAAGAAAAGAGCAAGAATCTCCATTGAAGAGTGTATTAGCTGAGCTCCTGAGCTGGTGAATCATTATATTTCTACTGTGTTAACTCCCCAACAATTCTCAATATTATTCCCTCAAGTCTAATAACTCAGATCCCAATAATTTCAATATTATTTTTTTCATTTAGTCGTCATCACAAAATTACATCACGTTGAAATACACCATCAATATACATACTTTCTAAGGATCGGAAGCAACCACGTTAATGATGTTTAGTCCGTGCGCTAATTACAACTTTGATAATCATTTTGGAAAATCAGCTCTACGTCAAATAGTGGATTGTGACTTTTTTCAAACATGTCACACTGCCTTTATAGACGGTGAACCAAGGGACAAAATCGATAATAATTGAGAGAGAAATTGACTTACTCAGAGATGAGCTCCCTGTTAATCCTCGATTTGGCTGCAACTGTAGTGGTAGAGGCTAGTTTTAGCTGTGGGAGTAAACGGTGAACGGAGGCTTATAAACAATGAAACCTGATTTGATGAACGGAAGCTAGGGCTGGAAAATGATGAGACCACTGACTCTGATGGACAGAGAGACGGTGAACGAACAGATCTGGTTGTGAGAGAAGACCGACGGGATTTGGGGGGAAATGAGACCGAAGGATTTGGGAGAGTTTTTTTTGGGGATTTGACAGAGAAGCTTTCATTAACTACACACCTTCCGACACCAGCGTTTAACCAAACCCCGACCATTTCAAAATAGTAAATGTGTAAAAATTAACCACCAGCTTTCCTTTTAGCGGCGTTTACCTTTAAACGCCATAGAGACTTCAGTTTGACTGCTGGCGATCTTCCAAACGTCGCCATACAAACGCCGGCACTAGCCTTATTTCTTGTAGTGAGTCTATGAAATCAAAAAATATATTCTTCTTCCTAACTCCCAATGATTTTTGTCTGAGTATATTAAACGTGTCCCCCTTAAATTATAATTTTTATGTTAATTCAATCCGAACTACCTTATTTGTAGCAATCTAAACCTTTTGTTAACAACCGTCTATTACAAATGAAAGTTTCTGAACGTGCAAGCTTTGTTATTGACTGCTAGCATCTGTGACTACAATTGGTAATTCGTCGCTTTCATTCAAAATAAACAGATAACCATATTCATGCCATTACCAGGTGAACATTACTAACATTAACAGATGAAAATTACTAACATTAATAGGTAAAATTCACCCCAAAATGAGTACAGATAATTATGTAATGACAATTACAGATGAGTACCACCACCCTTATCCAGCTCCTCCTCTCCATTTGAATACAACATCAACCAAATTATAACACAACAAATACCCAATGTCAACCACTAAATTTTCTCTCTTCTCCTCACCCTCCCCTGTTCAGCTTCCATAGCATTCAAATTTTTGAGCAGCCCCGGAATTAATTGTCGTGAGTGCACGCACATTGGTGGGTCTTGCCACATGAAGAAACCATACCCTGCATTCTGCGAAAAATGGAGCATTCAAATTATTGGGAAGTTATAGAAAAATTGTAAGAAAAATTCTAATGAGATAAAATATGAACCAAACATAGTATTCGGACATGTCAAGAACCTCCGTACTGGGTTTTGATCCGTCCTTGATGTCTTCTTTGAAGTAATCTTGCCAAAGTTAAAGTAGACCACGGTTTGTAGCTTAGTTGAGATGCTCTCTTTTTTCTTTGCAGTCCAATGGAGTAGCAGCTTTTTTTTTAAAAGGAGAATCCTGAAATTTGTTATTTAACCATTCAACCCCTGACATTGAAATATTATACACAAATCCTCTAATATTTATACATATAACAGTTAAACCCTTGCAGTAAATATATCTGTCAATAAATTATATTCAGGCCCTTTGAAGTTTGTAATACTTTAATCAAAAATAAAATATCAAATATTTTAAATTTTACAATTAAATTTCATGTTTTATTGTATCATTTATTGAAATAAAATAAAAAATTCAATTTTTTCTTAAAAAATTCAATTTTTTCTTAAAAAATTATAATTAATATATAATTATATTGTTTATTAAAATTTAATTTGGTAGTTTAAACGACCAAATTAAAATAGCAAATTACTACAATTAAAAGCTAAAAAATATTATATCCATTACAGTTTGACCCATTGTTTAATTTTTTAGTTTTACTCTAATAGATAGTATAATTTTATACTAACTATGATTTTTTTTTAGAAAAATTAAATTTTTAATTTTAATTTTATTTTAATAAATGATACAATAGAATATGAATTTTGGTTATAAAATTTAAAATATTTGATATTTTATTTTTGATTGAATTATTTTTTGTCTAAGTATAATATTTTAAATTTAAAAAGTCTAAATATTATGTACTTATAAATTTTAAAGGGATTTAAATATAATTTATTAACTGATATATTTACAACAAATATAAACTTCAAAAGATGTGTACATAATATTTCAAATATTAGAGAAATTTGAATAATTAAATAATAAACTTTATAATACCCCTCCTAAAAAAGAATGAGAAAGGGGCAGAAGCCAACCACGTTAGCCTTGGGAAGAAATTTTGGCGCCTCATATTTTCTTTTCCAAAGTTACCCCTGCACAGTCACATGCCCCTACACGTTTAGTAACTTTTGTCTATGATTTAGACTGTTCTTAACGTAAGGGGGTCAGATTGTTACAAATCAGATAGTTGGAAGGTTCAATTGACGCAAAATTGAGTTTCGAAACTGAATTAACACAAAAATTATAATTTAGAGGCCATTGGTCTAATTTACTCATTTTTGTCATATGTTTGACAGTTATACAAATAATAAAATAAAATCATAAAATAAATAAACTTAACATGTTTATTAAAAATAAATAAATAAATTATAATACCAAGAAATTGCTTTACTATAATTAGACTCTAATTAATGAAAAAATATTTAATATAATAATGACATCATATCATTAATGTTACTTGATGTCACCAATCAATAAGAAATAATCAAGCGAAAGAAATGAACCTCACTCCCATACATACATAGGATAATTCTGGTATAACAAAAAAGAAGTTGTTATAAAATTATGTGGGATTTATTTGCTCATATATTAATTTTTTGTTAAGATGTGATAGTAATTGAGAATTATAACATCGTATCATCGTTACATAGCCCAGAGCTGGTCCTTGCACCGCCACCGCCACCGCCACCACCCCCACCACCGTCCCTTCCCCTTACCCTTCCACTACCTCTTCTGCCGACGCTTCCGTTAAAGGTTGTCTGTGTTTTGTTGCGTTGAATTTGAATTTTGGAATTGGAATTTGAAAAGACCTAATCCAAACACTAATTCTCATGCACTTTGGGCTTCGAAAAAAACCGATTCGAGCAATTTCAGACGGCGGAACACGGCATCAGTGAAACAAACACTCATGAACTTGCGCTTATTCCGATCAACTTATTTTACCTCACGTTTACCCAATTTTCCTCTCCAATTTTCTTGTCTGGTGAAGATGAGCAGTGGCGTGAACTGGAGTCCCTCCTGTAGATATGCAATTGGCCGTGAACCTGTAACAGTGAGTGTTCTCCTTCAATTTTCTGTATTTTAGGGTTACTTCAATGTGTTATCAGTTTCCAGTTTCAGTTCCAAAATTTGTCCGCCATAGCTTCTCCTTTTTATCTGTCTAATTGCTTATTGGGAGCAAATTCCAACTGCTTACTATGCACCTGATCTTTCTGCAGAATTTCTTAGGTGCAAATATTAGTAATTGCAGTTTGATGCATCAATCTGACATATTTGGCATGGTAATTAATGGTGGGATTCTGTTTTGAAAGGTTTGATATTTTGTATGGTTGGTTAATAATGCTGGCAATGCCCGAGAAATGTAGGCATGGTTAGTCGTAATTTTGGAGTTTGTTAATAATGGCAATTTCCAGTCGAATTAGCTCGATGATCATCCTAAGATGGGTATATTTTTTATTTTTTATTTTTTTTGGGATCAGCAGAATACATTGCTGTATTGGAACTGCTTTGTTTAACTGATTCCTCTGAAGATGACACCTGTGGTAGTTATGGCATTTGGTTGTACTTCATAGTTAATTATGCTTGGACCCNTTTGTTAATAATGGCAATTTCCAGTCGAATTAGCTCGATGATCATCGTAAGATGGGTATATATATATATATTTTTTTTTTTTTGGGATCAGCAGAATACATTGCTGTATTGGAACTGCTTTGTTTAACTGATTCCTCTGAAGATAACACCTGTGGTAGTTATGGCATTTGGTTGTACTTCATAGTTAATTATGCTTGGACCCTTAATTCCCTTCGGATGCATTTTTGATAATGAAATTCCTAATTTTTGAATCGTTTATCAATGCAAACTTACTAGGTAGGACCTGATGGACTTGAAGAATCCCATGTCAAAATGAATACTTCACCGCAGATGACAGTGGNACAAACCTTACTAGGTAGGATCTGATGGACTTGAAGAATCCCATGTCAAAATGAATACTTCACCGCAGATGACAGTGGAGAATCTGTTGAACCAAGCAAATTCCTTGGATGCTTCAGATCCTGCCAATGAGCAGGAATGGCCTTCTCTTTCTGCTAGTGGTAGTTCTGGTGCAAAGGGTAGAAGAAGAACTAGGATTGACTTGGGAACCCAGCTTTGGCAAAGACCCAAGGACAGAGCAAGAGACAGTCGATCATTACAACACGGAACCTCATTTATAGCAAATTCTACAAGCCATCAGGACGGACCTTCTTTGCCTACAAGATTTGGGAAGAAGCATATGCTTCCTTCCATTCGAAAATCCACACTTAATCAAACGCATCCTGCACATGCATCTGGGAATGAAAATTCAGCTTGTGTCAAGGGTCTACCTGTGGTTCTACCATTTGATATCTGCCTCACTAAAAGCAGAAATTCTGCCAAGTGCAATGCTTCTCTGNCTTGTGTCAAGGGTCTACCTGTGGTTCTTCCATTTGATATCTGCCTCACTAAAAGCAGAAATTCTGCCAAGTGCAATGCTTCTCTGTATGCAGAGAGTAGGGACTACCACAATGAGTTGGAGCACTCTAAAGAAGAGACTGGACAAGTGCTGAGGCCAGGGATGATTCTCCTAAAAAATTATCTNTGTATGCAGAGAGTAGGGACTACCACAATGAGTTGGAGCACTCTAAAGAAGAGACTGGACAAGTGCTGAGGCCAGGGATGATTCTCCTAAAAAATTATCTTGCTCTCACTGAACAGGTACTGCCTCAGGTCATCACTTTACTTCAAGGATTGATTGAAATATTTGTTGAACTATACCATAACATCTTCAATCATTTCGAAACAGTCCAAAACAATGTTGGAAATATGCTGAAACACCTCGAACCATTCAAATCTCAATTCGATTGGTTTCGCTCTCCTTAGAAATGGAAATGTTTTAGACGTTTGAACCATTTCGAAACAAAATTTTGATCCTTGAATAGATTACATAATTTTTAGCATCACATTTGTCCTTGGAGTAGATCAGCTTTTGTTTGTGTAAATACTCCATATCAATGGCATATACGGTAGTTCCTATCCACAAGGACCAATGCATTTGTTTGAATTGATTAGTAGACCAACGACCCACCTTCAAAAAAAATTGTAATAATAAACGAGAAACCACAAAAAGAAAAAAGCACACATCCATACACACACACAAAAACAAACTAGTATCCCCTCCTTTTTCTTGCTACTAGTTTTTTACTTCGTGTTTTCCCATTCTTTGAGTTGTAGAAATACCATCTGTTTCTAGGATATGTTGATATTGATATGCCAATATCTTCAGATAATGATACTTTCACATTTCATACTTGTCTATATGTTTTAGGTTGAAACCGTAAAGAAATGTCAAGAATTAGGTCTTGGCCCAGGAGGGTTTTACCAACCTGGTTACCAAGATGGGGCAAAACTTCGTCTACAGATGATGTGTCTTGGTCTGAATTGGGACCCTCAGACAAGAAAATATGAAGACCGACGCCTAATTGATGGTTCTAAACCCCCTGGTATTCCTCATGAATTTAGTTTGTTGGTTAAAAGAGCAATGACAGATTCTCATGACCTACTCAAAAAGCACTGCAGAATAAGTGACGCAGAGGACATAATTCCTCAGATGTCTCCAGACATATGCATAGTCAACTTCTACGGAACCAGCGGGCGACTTGGTCTCCATCAGGTTGGTATTAACCTTTCATATAATAGTCTTAGCTGCATGAAAAAAAGAATTACTTCGGCAACATTATCCAGCGAGTGCCTCTCTTTCACACGAATCAACGGTTATTAAATTTTCCTGCTCTTTTCTTGGTTGAAAGATTCCATAGACGTAGGGAGTTTATAGTTTCAGACTGCCTAGTATCATAATTAACTGATATCCAGATTTTGTAAAAGGATGTTTGGAAATAATAATGGTATTGGTATTGTTATCTTTGGACATTACACATATATTGAATTAGCCCACTGTTTCCCTACTGTGTTTTGCATTTAAGTTATGCATAATGCAATTTTTTGATGAATGGAACCATCCTATAAAAATTGTCAGCATCATCACATTTCAAAGCGATTTAACACAATTCCTGAAACTGGCCCTGGACAGCTAATATTCATGATGTGTTTAACCTTTATAGAGGCCCCACTTGAAATGCTAGTGTATGGCTTCCACACTATGTAAAATAGTAGAGCTATCTAGTTCCTATGGGACATTAAAACATGTCATAGAANAGAATTCTTGTATGGGGATCAGAGGGAAGTTGATAAGGCAGAGAAAGTGCTACTGGAGTCGGGAGATGTATTGATATTTGGTGGCAAAGCTAGACATATTTTCCATGGAGTGTTGTCCATTATTCCAAACTCAGCTCCTCGTGCCCTGTTGGAAGAAACAAATCTCCGCCCTGGTCGTCTCAATCTTACCTTTAGACAATTCTGATAAAGTGCTGTTTACAATAGAGTTTCCATTTAATGGTGTCAACTGTCAAGTCAACATAAGAGAATCGCCATCCCCTGTCAACGGTTCAATGTAAGTTGTATGTAGACAACTTTAGTTCACCACAATTAGCATTTTGATCTTAGATAAAAGAATATTTTGAATATTGTTGAAAATTCAGACCAGGAAAAGATGATGATGATGATTTTGATTTTGATTTTGATTTTAATTTTGATTGTAGTGATGCGTTGATTTTATTATAATAATCGAGAAAATTGATTTGATTGTTGAGAAGATGTGGATTCTTGATGGATTGAATTGCTCACAACTAGGAGTGTCAAAATATAACACGACATGAATATGACACAAAATTAAAGGGTATGAGTCTTCCTTGAGTAACATATTTTATAAACAAATGGTCCCAAAATGACACGATTAATAAATAAATGGGGTATGAGTGAAGCTAACAACACGACTTGTTTATGTATTAATCATATACAATTCATATACGAGATAAATCCGATATGACATGACTCATTAGACACAAAATAATAGACAAACTGGATATGAATAAAATATTTTTTGATACAAACTTACTAAGACCCGACAAAATTGACCGGCTTCCTCACAAGACAAAAGGCTGAAAGATGCTAACATTGGAGTCTTGGCGAAAGTGATACCATGAGTCGTATAAAATAATTTCACATCACATCTTCTTAGCAACATGAAAAGGATGTAACGATGGACAAATTCGAGAATGATGAATTGCATAGAATTATATCGTTGAAAAGTGACAGGGACCTAAATCAATTGGAGATAAGAGGCATCACTCGTCCTTCTCGCCTCCTAGTTATATTCTATTCACCTTTCCTCTAAATTTTGTCCTTCGTTTATGGACCTACTAGATCTCCATTGCTTGTTGCTCTCATTCTACGGCTGACAATTTCTTTCGATCGAAGCAATAGTTATTGCCGTTGATGCGACGCGAATCGATTAGCAGTTGATTCATTATCAGCTCCAACAAAGAGAAACAAAAATCATGATGATGAGGGAACTTAAAACACCGGTGTACATGTCAGGATAAGGGAGGGGATGGAAGTAAAAATTGAAAAAAATTTCGAGCCACCTAAGGCTGCATCATCAAGTTTAGCAAGATAATATTCCATGTGCCTATAATATGCATAATGATATAGTAGATATGTCCTTGCTCTTACCAACACAGGTGGAATATTATTAAATTGCTCCTTCAATGATGGATGTTTATGTATCCTTGCCCTTGTTATTTTATTTTATTTTTTTGGTGGGTGGGGAGGGGGGTAGTGTATTCTTTCCCTCACATGACTTTTATATTTGTTGAATTGATTAGTTTATGTCTTATTTTAGTGAGTTTTAAGATATATAAAAATTTCAGGCGTCTTAATTTTGAATTTTAGCAATCTTTTATGGTTAGGTTATGAGGGATTTATCTCTCAATAATACCATAATTTTAGCGTGTATGACCTACTTTTGCCTGGAATTGGGAGCGAATTAGTCGAGATACACGTAAATTAATCCGGACATCCCTAACCGTTGAAAAAAAATAAATAAATATACAAAACCAATTATTAGGGTTGTAAGCCCATTGCGCACTAGCTGTAACAGAAGCAATCAATGATGGGCTTTTTCAATTGGCTTTCTCACTCGGTAAAGTTTATTAAAACTTACTTTAAGAGAAAAATTATGTCCTCAGGTGCTGCCCACTTTATTATAAAATACGTAGGGGTTGGTTCACATCTCTTGGGATCAACAGATATCTTCAAATTAAAAGACAGTTATAATAGAGTAATTCTGAACAGACGGAGTAAAAATATAGAATTGATAAAAAAAAAAAATTCATTCATTAATTCTATCGAATGAACTTTGATTACAAAAGAGATTGAATTAACAGCCTAGAATCTATTACCAATGATGTCTAGAATATACGCTAACACTATTATTAGTGATGCCTAAATTTACGGGTTTGAAAACGTGTTTTCCTTCTATCATTATGATTTTTTTTTATAGTCATTCTCTTCGACGGTTGTTCTTTCATCGCCAGTTACTTAATACTTTCAACAAACAAAATGTGTTTTCTTTTGTTCAATATCCATGTGGAAGATTTTGAAGAGCTCTTAACGAAGAGTTTTGGTAGCCATTAAAATATGTGGCCTACCTTGTTTTGATATTCACGAAGCCTAATGTCATTAAATTAATTCAGCAAGGATAACAAAACATATTATAATGAATGGCAGCCACAGTGGTAGGTGGGATAAACATCAAGGGCAGGACAGTTCAAGTGGTAAATAGGGACGAGTTGTATATTTAAATGTCATGAATTTAAATTTTGGCAATTTATTAAAGTTAAGTCATCAGAGATTTATTCCTCATAAATTTCTTATTTTCAGCGTGAATGACATGTGCGTAAGTAACTCGAACGCTCCCGACTGTTGAACAAAAAAAAAATAGTTTTACGCTCACCTCAAACATTCCTTGTTCGTTGAACCAAAAGAAAAATGGTAAGTGGATTAGCACCCCAAAAAAAAAAAACACAGAAGTGGGCATCAATAACTTTATAAAAATGAAACAAGGATAAACAAGTTCAATACGAAACATATCGACCAAGAGACAAAATTAATGGAATTCCAGCATGGTACAACACTTAGAGTATAGTTAGTGCGTCATCTCATAATTAAATAATGGTGTTGGAGAGCCAAGATGTCCAATGAACACACTTTCATTATTATTATCTTGTTGATCGGTGAAAATTTTATTATTTGCTAATACCATTATTGCTACGATGACTCCAAACAATAGCCACAACTTTAAATTACATTGTGTTTCTGAATATATTCATACAATAAAAATGATGAAACGTGATGATGTGACACTATCATGTTAAACCCAATAGGAATGAGGTTATCTATCTATATATATATATATACACTAACTTATCCACTCCATCAATTGGAGGTGGTTCAAGAAGATGGCCAAGTACATTTGAAAGTGATATGCGCTATCAATCGATGTATATATTTTGGAATTCTAGTCACCTACATCACGATGAATTTGTGAAGATAATTAATGTATTAATATATTAGGTTATACATTTACGTGTAGATACGTTAAAGAAGATAAATTCTTCGTAAAGTCCAGAATACCTAACATAATTTAAATAAATTAGGCAAAGAGTACCCAACAAAGCCTTCAACATAAATCTAGTCTACTAATGTAAATTTTTTTTTTTAATTACTAATGTAAATATTTACTGTCATAACGGAGAGTCTGCGTGAAAAGGAAATTGCTTCCATATCACAAGACATATGACTAATCACCCACCCAAACATGGTTTAAATAAATTATTGGCATATATAATTGCACTTCCCTCACAAACCGAAGGGTAAAGATCACATCAAAAGTACATAGAATTTCAAAAGCAGCTTTCCTCCCATAATTCAATGCCTGCTGGTCCTATTGTTGAGAAGTTGCAAGTGCCGGTGAAAAGAGATTGACATACGTGTTTATGTTAAAACTAATCAAAGATAATGAATAAAATAAACAGATGGAATGAAAGAAATTTGAATAACCTATTAACGAAGAAATCAACTAGTTAGACAGAGAGTACGTGGATAGAGCAAAATACTCTCACCAACTAAAAATCTCATATCTCCTGTAGTAGGCAAACAATATCAATATTTATAACACAGTGTCCAAACAATTTGAGTTGCCTAAAGGGTTGCCCGCCGTGACCCTCTAACACGCACGCGAATTCACAATTGCCTCTATCGTGAGGATATCAGTAGTTGCTAACTACGAGTCACATGTCCTGATATTAACTAAGTAAAGGTGACGTTTTTTCAAACATAGTTTAGACGTGAGCCTCGAGAAAGAGTATGACAGTTGAGGCGAAAGAGAGTTTCCATGGTTAATGATCACCACTGGTTATTGCGGGACCGTGACCTCAAGAAGGCCACGTCCGTGATGCCCTCAATACGCTCTTACTCAAGATCTTCCATTCCCTATCTAAATTCCTCCTCGAGATCTTAGTCAAGATGTCCAATAAAGGAAACGCACACAATTTCGATCCTTCAGCTATCAATCCATATGTCTCATTAACTCGTATATTAATTTGAATCAATGCAATTACCTTAGGAGTCCCTTCGAATTCCAGTCAAACACGTTGCAGTGGACAGTGAGCCATACATTAGGAGATCTCCTCAAGCAGATTAAACTTTCGAGATCCTACCCCAGGCTGAGGTTGACAATCATGCTCGTCCGCCCCCTTTGCTCAATTCTCCCTTGAGAAGGGTCATACTACTCTGTCTCTAGATGGGGACCCCTTCTCTTAGTTCACTAGATCAGTTGAGCAACAATATCCAATAGGTTAAGAATACCAATTATGCAATTCCAGCCTTGTGTCTCATTTTCACAATGGGGAAGGCAAGTCACGTCAAGGTTGCCCCCAGACCTTCACAACGCCACTCTCGTTTGTCATTAGTAAATGGTCCATTTTATCACTTTCAATGAGATGAGGACATGTTCCGCCTTTCTGCAACACTAGGTGCCTACCGCGGCACTGGGTGTAAGTCGCAGTGCTAATGCTGATGTGGCACTATTTGTCAGTACCAATCTTTCTAGATTTTATTTAATTCTTGTCACTTGTCATTCTATGGCATAGACACGAATTCTGAATTTATCATGTACTACAGTTGACATACAAGTCTCTCTCTCTCTATCTCTGAACTCAAGATATAGTCCCCACATGAGAGATGCAACAATCTTAGAAACATCCCATCCCTATGCTTGGGCCTCATTCATGAAGGGATTTTCTCCCCATTGCCTTCGGTTGCCTAAGAGTGGGGATTGTCACAGGCGACACCAGCATACATACATATATGTATTAATTACCAATATGTGGACCTTAAAATTTGGTTTGTATTGGCAAAAAGGACCTAAATTGAATACATGTCAGATTTGGGGGAAAGTTGAGGGATGCAATTACTGTGAAATGAGGGGTCAAACCAGAGTTAATCAAATGTACGATATGTTAATTCAAGTTCAACAAAAACCTGAATCTAACTTGAAACGTATTGTCTGAAGTTAGATTGAACTCAAATTATGCAATTCTCCTAGCATTCTTTTTCGGCTTTTGTGTCAAAATTTGAGTGTCATTCAGTTCATAGAGTGTCAATAATGGCAAGATAGTGACATTCATTGATTCTTTATATAAAACAGGCACCCCATTACTATTTTTTTTTTTTTAAAAAAAAACACCATTACAATTTATTACCCGACATACTAATTAGAAAATCTTAGGCACTGATTTTGTATGGATTGAGATCCTCTTTAATATATGTTTTTAAAATTCTCATATAATCTATCATTAATGGATCTGATTATGGTACCATCAAAAAAAATTGGTACCATATATCTAGAATTTACTACTTTCAAAAAGTATTTTAATAATATTTATATTTTATTTTACAACAAAAATATTTATTATTTTTGTGATTAATTTATTACTTTTATAAGTATTTATACCACTATTTTGGTATTTTATCACATTTGTGGTAATTATTTTTACCAATGTTCTTTAGCACAAAAAAAAATTATCATTTTTGTAGACAATTTATCACTTTTGTGGATATTTTTATATGTTTTTACCACTATTATACTAATTATTTTTCTCATTTTTTTGGTTACTACAACACTGATAAAAGCACCTATAAATATAGTAAAAAAAATTACATATTTGATAAATTGAGGGATAGTATTGAATTTTTTTTTCTAGTACAGTTGTCAACTCTATCATTAATAAGTAAGGTATCTAGTTGTACACAATAAACTCGTTGGTTATCGTATTATAAAAAAATTGATTGGATTAAGTAATTCAAGCTAAACAAAATATAAGATTAAATAAGAGACATAAATACTATTTTTTGTAATCAAGTGTTTAGTAAGATACTAGGCTAAGAATGAAATAATAAAATACTAATTATATATTGATTAAAAATTATTAATCTAGTTTAGTTATTCATATTTTTTTTATTGAATAAAATAGTAAATTTATAGCCTAATTAGCCTCAAGTGTATTATTCATATATATATATATACACTAAGGTTATATATAGTACGAAGTGTTTTTTATAATCAAATACAATATAAGATTGGATTAAAGAATTTTAATATATTATGGTTATATAATTTACCCTTTAATACTGCGACTAAACTACTTCAATAGGGCTTACTTAAATACATGATTAGTGATCCATTTAAAAGAGAATTAAAGACAAAACATATTAGGTGGAATTTGTGGTGATGAATGAATGTCGCTGGCTGCCCAATAGTTTAAAGTAATTTAGGCACACACCTGTCATATGGGTCTCATTTTAGGTAATGGTGAGGATGTTTTTTAATGTCTAGAGAGAACAGATGATGGCGATTAATTATGAATTAATAATTATGAATTTTTTTTTTTAAATTTGAATTTAATCTAATTTATTAATTGGATGATTTGTCCGATACAGTAATATTATGTACATAAGCTTATTTTAGAAATTTTTTACTAGGAATTAAAAATCAGATTTAATTAAATATTTTAATGCTGTGATAATTGATTACCATATATTAATGTGNGAAATTTTTTACTAGGAATTAAAAATCAGATTTAATTAAATATTTTAATGCTGTGATAATTGATTACCATATATTAATGTGGATGTTTTGGTAGTGCCTATTTTATTGGAAAATTTCTGAAAATAGTATCATTTCTCATTAATTGAAGAAATGACACGTCACGGATCTCCCTCTGCCGCTCTCTGCGTAGTTGGTCGTCTTTATATATGCTTCGTCTGAATCTTGTTTGCATATCCTCCCTCTCTTTCTCTCTCGCTCCCTCTCTTTTACCTAATCAACACACCTGCATTCTGGGAATCAACGGGAAAGAGCAGAGAGAGACAGAGAGAAACATCTAAACAAACAAGCAGAAGAAGGGGAGAGAAAGAAGCAATAAAAGATGCAGAGAGCTGTGATGAGAAGGGCTTTATGGGGAAGAGAATTTCAAGGTTGGCGTCGATGCTTGTCTCAACTAACCCA